TTTCTGCTTGATCACTAATTCAAAAGCTTATCTGGCCCACCTGGTTTTCTGCCAACTGTAGATCTGCCAATCACGCCTTGGTGTGGCCCTGTAAGGAATTGTTCCAAAACCAAGGATAAAACAATATTTCTTTTTTTCTATTTAACTGATTTTTGAATTGCTTTTCCTCAATATTGGTTATATTAAATTTACTTTTTGAAACCTTCATCAAACGGTTTTCTTATTGAATAGTTCATTTAAATCTTATGGCATCATTTTAATATTACTTTCAAAATGTCAAACATTACTTAGACCCCTCTGACATTGGCACTTAAAGGAATCATGATACTAAGTCAAGGAAAATGAAAATTGATATCATCTTTTCTGTTAAGCAATTTTTAGTCAGGTTGGATCATGTTGTATACACTGATACCTGCAGATTCACTCCACAAATATATTAATTCACTCTAGCATGTTTTCCTTTAAAAATATTGGACATAATAAAGTCAGGCGCAGTGGCTCATGCCTGTAATCCAAGCCCTTTGGGAGGCCGAGGTGGGTAGATCACGAGGTCAGAAGTTTGAGACCAGCCTGGCCAACATAGTGAAACCACATCTTTACTAAAAATCCAAAAATTAACCAGGTGTAGTGGTGGGCACCTGTAGGCCCAGCTACTTGGGAGGGCTGAAGCAGGAGAATCGCTTGACCCTGGGAGGCAGAGGTTGCAGTGAGCCAAGGTTGTGCCACTGCACTCCAGCCTAGGTGACAAAACTAGACTCCATCTCAAAAAAAAAAAAATGGATATAATAATTGGAAACAAGATAGACATAGGGTACTATCAACCCCCCTAGTGGTCTTACCATTATACACCCTAAAATACAACTTAGGAGAATGGAAAGGATTTCACTGATAGTATTAAGGCCTGAAGTAACTTAGAATCTTCCAGGAAGGAGGACAAGCAACATGTAGGAGGGGTTAGCTGCTAAACGTACAATTGTGCTTTGTGGGTATGCACAGGGTACAGGAGGAACTCAAGTTAGGCATAATTTAATTCATCTTGCACAGAAAGGTGGGAGAAGGACTCAGAATCATTGTGTAGAGGAAGCGATTGAACTGGGTTATATGTTTTTATTTATTTATCTATATTTTATTTATTTTTATTTTACTTTAAGTTCCAGGACACATGTGCAAAATGTTCAGGTTTGTTACATAAGTATACAGGTACCATGGTGGTTTGCTGCACCTATCAACCCATCATCTAGGTTTTAAGGTCTGCATGCATTAGATATTTGTCCTAATGCTCTCCCTCCCCTTGCTCCTCAACCCAATACAGGCCCTGATGTGTGTTGCTCCCCTTCCTGTATCCATGTGTTCTCATTTTTCAACTCCCACTTATGAGTAAGAACATGTGGTGTTTGGTTTTCTGTTCCTGTGTTAGTTTTCTGAGAATGATGGTTTCCAGCTTCATCCATGTCCCTGCAAAGGACATGATCTCATTCATTTTTATGGCTGCATACATTTTCTTTATCCAGTCTATCACTGATGGGCATTTGGGTTGGTTCCAAGTCTTTGCTATTGTAAATAGTGCTGCAAGAAACATACGTGTGCATATGTCTTTATAGTAGAATGATTTACAAGCCTTTGGGTATATACCCAGTAATGGGATTGCTGGGTCAAATGGTATTTCTGGTTCTAGATCCTTGAGGAATCACCACACTGTCATCCACAATGGTTGAACTAATTCACAATCCCACTAGTAGTGTAAAAGTGTTCCTTTTTCTCGACAGCCTCTCCAGCATTTATTGTTTTCTGACTTTTTAATAATCACCATTCTGACTGGCATGAGATAGTATCTCATCGTGGTTTGGGTTTGCATTTATCTAATAATCAGTGACGTTGAACTTTTTTTTTAATATGTTTGTTGCCCACATAAATGCCATCTTTTGAGAAGTGTCTGTTCATATCCTTTGTCCACTTTTTGATGGGGTTGTTTTTTTTCTTGTAAATTTGTTTAAATTCCTCGTGGAGTCTGTATATTAGACCTTTGTCCCATGGGTAGATAGAAAATTTTTTTTCTCATTCTGCAGGTTGACTATTCACTCTGATGCTAGTTTCTTTTGCTGTGTAGAAGCTCTTTAGTTTAATTAGATCCCATTTGTCAGTTTCAGCTTTTGTTGAAATTGCTTTTGGTGTTTTAGTCATGAAGTCTTTGCCCATGTCTATGTCCTGGATGGTATTGCCTAGGTTTTCTCCTAGGGTTTTTATGGTTTTGGGTTTTATGTTTAAGTCTTCAGTCCATCTTGAGTTAATTTTCATATAAGCTATAAGGAAGGGGTCCAGTTTTAGTTTTCCACGTATGGTGAGCCACTTTTCCCAGCACCATTTATTAAATAGGGAATAATTTCCCCATCGCTTGTTTTTCTGAGGTTTGTTGAAGATCAGATGCTTGTAGAAGTGTGGTGTTATTATTGAGGTCTAACTCTGTTATGTTCTATTGGTCTATATATCTGTTTTGGTACCAGTACAATGCTGTTTTGGTTACTGCAGCCTTGTAGTATAGTTTGAAGTCAGGTAGCACGATGCCTCCAGTTATGTGTTTTTTGTTTAGGATTGTCTTGGCTTACAGGCTCTTTTCTAGTTTCATACGGAATTTAAAGTAGTTTTTTTCTAATTCTGCGAAGAAAGTCAATAGCTTGATGGTCAGGTGTTTTTAAACAGGCAAGATAAAAATGAGTATTGCAGAAACAGGGAAGAGTATGAGCACAAAGAGGAAGAACTAGTTTTGCAGCAAGTTTCTTAATTAGTAAAAATTTTGGAGTGGCTGAAACAAACTAAAGAACTGAAGCAGAGAGAAGATGAAGCTGGGAAGATAAGCAGGAGCTGGGTCATGAAGATTGTTATGTACCATGCTGAAGGTTGTGGATTTGATTTTTTCCCCCAGAGGATTGCATATTTCCACCATTTTCTGGTAAGATTCTGAAAATTGTATTTTCACATTTTTATTAAAAGTCAAAATTGAAATATTCTAAATGGAAGACATCTCCAATAGATAAGAAAAGAAAGCACTAATTTATGCTGCTCACATTCCCCAAATACAATCCAGCCTTGCACTGTGTTTCTAGATGCTGAATAGTTGGGTTTCCCTACCTATACTATTCTATTCCTTCATTTCCACTGTTATGTAACACTCATACAAATAAGTAATTTAAAATCAAGTTTAGTAACCAATATGTTGAAGAAATTCTCATAAAAATTAAAACAAGGATAATTGAAGGATATGAATTAGAGTCACTTTACTGATATCCAAATGATTTCTAATTTTTTTAATATTTGAAAATACATGATTGAGTTAGAATTTATCCTTTGTAGATTTTTAAGGATATTTGAACAAAAATATAGATTTTTCTAAGATACTAATTAGAGCATGCAGATTACCTTTAAATATTTAAAAGCGGTTCACAGGTTCTAGCCACCCTATAATGTGTTACATGTTAGCATGCTTAAGGAAGACAAGATGCTCCTGACTTTGAAAATAATGCTACTGAAGTATACACTCAAGTTTGTACATAAATTTCTATTGAGTCCACATGTATTAAGCACTGCCTTTCAAAATCTTCCTTTGTCTTCTATTATTTTAAATTTTTGTTATAACCAATTGTCAATACAACCCATATGTAAAGTATGCATGAGCGCGCACGCAAGCGCACACACACACACACTCCTCAGAAGAAAACACCAAAAAATAGAACAGCAAAAATGAAATTTGAAATAGCCTCATAGCTTTACAAGTGCTTTGCAAAATCTTCTTTACTTGATTTAAAAGCACTATGAAGTGCATGTATAATAAAAATGTTTAGAAAAAGATTTGGTTTAGGGTTCAGCATTCATTTCATATGTTGAAAGTTACTGAAAAGTGTAATTTTAAAGTGCAAGTGTCATTGTTTTTGTTTTTCATAGAACAGGCATTCTAGTTTTTGTTACTTAATAGAACAAGGTAGTATGCATGTGTCTTTGGGAGGTCATGTTTTATGTATCTAGTAACATTTGATATGGTAAAACATTAATTTTTAAAAAGTTTAAGTAGTATTTAAGGATTGTCTTTGGCAGGGCACGGTGGCTCATGCCTGTAATCCTAGCACTTTGGGAGGCCGAGGTGCATGGATCACGGGGTCAAGAGATCAAGACCATCCTGGTCAACATAATGAAACGCTGTCTCTACTAAAAATATAAAAATTAGGTGGGCATGGTGGTGCATGCCTGTAGTCCCAGATACTTGGGAGGCTGAGGCAGGAGAATCGCTTGAACTAGGAAGGTGAAGTTGCAGTGAGCTGAGATTGCACCACTGTATTCCAGCCTTCAGCCTGGTGACAGAGCAAGACTCCATCTCAAAAAAAAAAATTGTACTCACATAGTTAATATGGATTTCTAAAATATATCATTCATAAATGAAACAGTGGATCTGCTACATGTTTTTATTGAAACAAGGAGTAAAATCTCACATGCATCTAGAACCACAGCTACTTTCTAGTCTCAAATTGCTTATGTTTCAAATAAAGTCACTTCCAAATCTGCTTAGAAGGATGAGACACTTGCAAAATAGAAAAGGAAAGACAACAGTTAAACTAAGTAAATATAAGAGGGTTATTTTTAGTGAAGTGGATTTTGCACAAAAGCAGCACAAGGTATCCTGGGTCAACATCATTTAAACAGCTGGATGGCATCTGCGAAGCCTGAAGATTTGTTAAAACAACAACAACATTTTTTTTTTGTACCAAATGCATTTATAAAAATCTGTTCTGAGGTTTGTGAGAAATAAGTCCAATCTCCCTTTTCCCCCAAAGTATGCATGGTATATGTGCTAACTTACTGAATTCATCCTTCATGCAATTCCAGTTTATTAAAGAGGTTAAAAATTTATAAAACTCTGATGGGATATGGTTTTAATGCTTCATCACACTACCCATCATTTGCTTTTCAATCTAGATCAGAATGATCTTTCAGACTTCCCTGCAATCACCTACCTGCACAGCTAATATTTTCTGAATACTCTCTTGAGAGTCTGTCTGGAAGTTGGCCAGCCTCATCTGGCTGAAGAGGACCACCAGTTTGAAGTGCTCCTGCCACAGCCTGTGCATCCTTCTCTGCAGCTGACAGAGCTAAAGAGAAGAGGGAGGGGAGAAAACAGAAGTCAGAGGAGGAGAGGAAATTAATGGCAGTGTTCAAGAAGAATGATGGAGGGAAATATAGAAAGCAGTCAATAGCCCATTCTGCACTGTACGGATCTGACAGGAATTTCACAGTCTCTTGATTTTTCAGCCCACTCATGTGCATTCATCAGAAACCAGTCACATCTGGCCGCCAGGATGGGGGGTTAATTTTCTCTAAATGCCTCAGCAGTTTTGTTCTAGCTGAGGCAAACTCTGTGACTGCAGAGCTGATGAGTAAAATATTTCTACTTCACCCAGTTTAACTCAAAACCGATAGCCTTGGGACATATTGAACCTTTCTTGAAGAAAATCATCTTTTGAAGCTATTTTGAATGGCACATCAGGTCAAGCCAAAGTTTAAAAATGCAACTTTAAGACTTTGATGGACACCATCGCCGCATTTTTTCCTCATAAAGCTTACCATTGCTTGGCAATGTGTGCTTTAGAGCATAACAAAACTAAAGAAAATTAACTTAGCCATCAACTGCTGAGGGAGAACAATAACAAGGAAGAAATTTCCAGCTAGAACTCCCTATTAATCTACCTCCCTCTGACCACATGACATGGAAACATCTCACTGCACTAAAGCATAGTGGACATGGTGTTTAGAAGTGACATGTTTAATACAGAATTTGTACAGAAAAAAAAAGAATTCACCTATGACATATGCTAGATCATTTGGAAGTTTAATATAAAAACCAACAGAAAACAGTGGACGTTTAATCAAGACAATGTACACTTGCTCTTCAACAGTTACCACAGGCACACATGCAGAATTATTATAATAAGACATTTTCAAAGGGATAAACATAAAAGTAACAGTCAAAACTATTTATTAAAAATCCCAAACATGTATAATGAATGTTTATATTACATGAATATAATATAATATATTCTGTCACTGAAAACTCTTGGTTTTGGCAATGTGGTTAATTGCTGATGTCAATTCCTTTTTAGCATATTTTGCAGAATGGAAAAACAAAATTCACGTCCAAATATTTAATATCAAACACAATTTTTATATTAAACACTTTTTCATACCAGAGTAAAAACATGTTAACAATGTGGCTATTTGATGGGTTACATACATATGTGGGATCCTCTGTAAAACATCAATAAGGAGTGTATGTAAAATTTGGGAACTCTTTTGTTTATATATTTCAATAAAACAATTCACTTAACTAAATACTTGGTGTTGCATGTAAATTGTTTATTATCATTATCCTCATTATGCATTGTTATAAACAACATGTATGTATTATGTTTGGTTCCCAGAAAAACAAAGCCTGTATTTTTGGTTAGTTGATTAACTAGAAAGAAGAAAAGACTTTGAAAACTATAGATACTTCAGCTTACTAAATGCTGAAATACATTGTTCAGAACCAGTTTATGGGCATTTCAGATAATCTGGCCTATTAAATTAAAACTTATTTTATTTTTTGAAGAGAAATTATTCTTTGAAGAGAAATTCTGCCAAGCTTTCAAAACATTGTGTTTTCTGTAGTATAAGTGAAGCCTGACAGTCAATCCAGGGAGGTATGTTTTATCTTGATATACTCATTAAGACATTTGAAAAGTTTAGGTTCATTGTGTATGTTCCTAACTACATAAAGAGTCATATTAAGACTGTAATTATTGTTCAGGGACAGGGGAAGGGTCTGGGTGTTAAGGGTTCAGGAATGATCAATGGTAGTTAGCACTGGCCCTGTATTACCTAATGTATGCATCAGTGATTTAAATAACATTAATTAAATTTGCTTTAACAATAAGATGCAGAGCACATGTATATTTAAATTAGAAATTACTTCAATCTGAAACTGTGGGCAAGGCTAAAGAAGCTGACATTTAGTGTCAACTAAACATTAATAACAGAAGAAAAGAATCATGACAAATATTTCTGTAAATAATTTCATAACATACATATGTTTGAAACTTTTGTGATATTTATGTTTATTACTAAAATATGACCTTGTAGCTTACAGATTTTTTTAAAGGGCAAAAATGGAAATGAATGTGAAGGAAATTTTCCTTGCTTATAAACTAAAATTATCAATCATTTTTACTAACAGAATATCTCATTTCTGAAATTACATGTGGAAATATATTTCGTAACACATATTGCAGTATAGTTCTTTTTATGCTGCCTAAATATATTGTTTGCTGAGGTAAACATCCTGAATGAAGGGGACATAATCGAATAGATAAATACAATTTGCTAAATGAAGGTTAACTATAAATTGTCTGTTGTGGGTAGAGGCTTTGAAGAGATTAGATTTTTGCTATTTTCTTAACAAAGACAAATAATCTGTCAACTTTCTCAATTCTTGTCAATGTGACTTATTTAAACAACACAGTTCATAGGTTGATTGTATCCACAGTGGGCTAGTTGAGATAGCTTCTTTTATTAACCCCAGTTTACAGCCGAGGAATCTGTATTTTAAAGAGGTTCACTTCTTTAGGTTATTTACTTCTAACTTTAAGTTATTAACCATGATGCCATATCAGTTAAATTTCAGTGGCTTTTCTCTTTCTGCCTCTGATATTTTAGCAGTCACTTCTAGATTAAAGATAGTCATAAAGACTGCTAGAAACACCCAAGGGATCCGTAGACTTTTGCCACAGAGTTTCCTTAAAATAGGCTATGATGCAAAATGAACATCTATGTATGCCTATTAGATACTAGTAAGAAGTGCATGATAAAACCTTATCACATAGCATAGATTTTCAAATTATGCAAAATGAACATCTATGTATGCCTATTAGATACTAGTAAGAAGTGCATGATAAAACCTTATCACATAGCATAGATTTTCAAATTATTGTCTACCTCAGACCTTACTTTACCAGTTTGTTGTAATTTGGAATTTTTAAGACAACAACAAATGAAAACCTACCATGTAAAAAATTGGACAATAGACTATCAAGACAAGAAAAGTTCACAGCAATATGTCAGAAATAAGTGATTTTGAAAGAATGGCTGTAGCATGAACTCTTTTAGCCTTACTGAGTGGAATTAGATATCTCAGTGAAAAGTCACCTACAGTAAAATACCACTTTAATTTTCTAGAGTATTTTTCTTATTCCAAAGTTGTAGTTACTTGGAGCCAGCTTAGCTCTCAGAATACCTTATTTCCCCCAGGAGATTCTAGGATACTTGGAGCTACATCTATAAACAAAGATCTGTTTGTCAAAGAAAATAATAAATTAATACTATTAGAATAGTCACAAATTTGACAAAAAGCAAGTATGAGAAAGATGAGCTGTAGAGGAATTCCTTAACAAGAAGGTAAATTTTACAAGTGGGAGCTCTTCAGCGTGTGTAAACAGGGCAAACTGAATAGTAATGTTTTTCATAGCCGCAAGTTAAATAAGGAGAAGCAGCTGCATGCAGTGTCTATTTTTAATTCAGTTGTCTGTATTCTAGCTTGAGGTAGCCACAAAAGCCTTAAATTTATCAATATACACGTGTTAACTAAGCCTGTTAAACAGAGAATTTTTTTAAGGATCAACTAAGAAAGAGTAATACCTCAAAAAAGAGATTTTTATGGGGGAAAATCAATAGCTAATAGGCCTATGGTAAAAGAAGAACCAGGAAAAGGAAGAATTAAAGGCAATCTTAAAGAGCAAGGAACCAGCATCCAATAAAATAACTTAGGTGCACAAGCACATATGCACACGAAAGACAGTAAGACAATTCAAAAGAATATTTAAGGAAAAACAACTAAGATGCTGAAAACAATGATTGATTATATCAATAGCTATGATACAATTATTTTAGGAAAGTGATTATGAACAAACCCCATTTTAAGATATCAGAAGATAGTGATTGCTCAATAAATGTTTAATAAAATTGACAACTTGAACTGATAAAAATTTACCTGATAAACGGTATAAACCAAAAACTTCCATCAGAGATTTTACTAAATGAACATTAGAAATCTTCCTTGAATGTTGGGCAAAATAAAGTAAGGATATCAGAAATCAACATCCCTTTTAAAAATTTTATTGCAAATTCTTCTCAAGGAATGAAAAAAATAGAACTACAAAAGACAGCTATAAGAGTTAGAAAAAAATGTCTATATGGAAAATTCAGTAGGCTCTAAAAAATGACAAATGGAGGTGATGAGAGTTTAGGAACTTTCTGCCTATAAGATCTGAACTCAAAAAATTAATAACTTTTTTTTTTTTGAGACAGAGTCTTGCTCTGCTGCCCAGGCTGAAGTGCAGTGGCACGATCTCAGTTCACTGCAACCTTGCCTCCTTGGTTACAGCAATTCTGCTATCTCAGCTTGCCGAGTAGCTGGGATTACAGGTGTCCCTCACCATGCCTGGCTAATTTTTGTATTTTTAGTAGAGACAGGGTTTTGCCATGTTGGTCAGGCTGGTCTTAAACTTCTAACCTCAGGTGATCTGCCAACCTTGGTCTCCTAAAGGCTGGGATTACAGGCATGAGCCACTAAGCCCGGCCCATTTTTATAAATCAGTATGACCAATTTTGAATTGTAATAGAAAAAATTCTATTTATTACCATAAAATAAAATGCAAGGTACTTAGGTTTATATCTATTACAAATGGGTAATATTTTATAAAGAAAGCTACAAAACATTTTGAAAAATAAGAACTGAATAAATCTAGAGGTGTAATATGATCATACATGAGAAAAGAGTATCAGGGACAAGTCAGTTTTCCACAAAGTAGTCTACAATCTCATCAGGTTTCATGAAAGTTTATCTAAAATTCACATAGAAGAAGAAAGGACTGCGAATATGTAATGAGACAATTGTGAAATAGGAGAACAAGCCTGAAAAATTTGACATGTGATATTTACAATTCATCTTAAAGGTGTAGGAATTAAGAATAATATTGGGATCATCCAAAGAGAGCATTTGATTAGTGCAGAAAGGATGGCTAATACTCCAAGCAAAATAAAATATAATTAGATCCTCAAC